CCCCCCCACCTCCCCCCAAAAAAGAAAAGCAAATGGGACATGGAGAACAATAACATTCCAGTCCATGAATGTTTTTTAACCACAAAACTAATCCATTTCAATTGTATATCATAACCAGAGCCGGACCATAGATTTTCAAACCAGAGTCGAATTTAAAAAACTGGGCCCTCAGATCTTAGTGAGCATTCAAATTTTTTTCGTAAGGATTTTATGGAACTAAATGTATCAACTCAAAAGTCAAAATCCAACAATAAAATGGCAAACAATGTAATTTTAAAAATATTTATGAACAACTAAACAAGTAACTTGTGAATAGTTGACCTTTTTTTGAGACAATTAAATGATATATTAACCAACAAGAAACTTAAAAGCAATTTCAAGAGGGAAAAAAAAAGAAAAGAAAAGAAAAGAAAAACTAAAGGCTATATCATTAATAAATAAACACATAAGCTTTCTTCTCTGATTCTTAAGTGTTAAAAGCAGAAGTTACTGAACAAATGAAGCGATGACCAGTCTGTCAAAGTACAAACAAATTCGGAGGATGCCAAACTTTTTAGAGTAAAAAAAAACTGAAGAATATCGAGAACGGTGATGAGGGATGAAATGAGAAAGCCTAATCATCAAGCTCCATTGCATACTGAAACTTGAAAGCACAAACTAATGAAAGAGCAACGCTGCTTCACAGTTAAACAGCAATTAAATAAACCGTAAACTATAAAATCAATTTGAAGTCTCCATCTCAATTTCACATCCAACTAACTTTCCAATACCAAAATGACTAATCTTTGTAACCAAGCTAAACTAACTACAATAAGAATTTCATCATCCAGTAAGCATTAACTAAATAATTAAGACTCCTGTGAAAATTGAAATGTAGAGGAAATTTTAACCAAAACCTGAAAGGATAAAACTACACATGGAATATTAATTATTAAAGATGATTAACTTATTGAATATTAATTGTTTTTATAACAACAGTAATATGCAATTCATCTTAATTCTTGGCTGCCAAGCACACATTTGAAGTTCCTAATATTGTGAAAAAAAAAAAAAGGCGTCAAAGTGAAAGGTACAGATTCCTATTAAACTTAGAATTTCAATGTTTTGAGATTCAGACACCAACTGAGAATTCAAATTAAAAAATACACTAACTTGATATTCAAATAAAAATCGTACCTTTTAAAGCAAAACTCTTCTCTATATTTCAAGAACAAATGGGTCTTTCCAGAAATGCTTAAATCCTCAATATTTAGCAGATAAATGGTGAACTCTTTACTGTGTAGATGGGTAATGGGTTTTAATTGGGTTTTTCATAGGTGGATATCTATCCTCAAATCTTCCACACATGCAGACATAATATATGTATTACAAACACGATTTGAGGGTAAATAAATCCAAGAGAACAAGAATTAGAGTTAACTCATGTTTTCCAAACAAGTAGTGTCTATCAATATGAAATCTACCAATAAAGGATTTCAATTTACCTCGAGAAAGTTAGGTAGCTGCACAATTAGTTAACGAAATTGATTGATTGCCAGCTACGTTTGGATAGGAATACAATAATAAAGAGGAGGTTAACAATTAGATTCAGCTATCAGACCAAACCTCCCAACCAAGCGATTAATGTCAGATCTTGATTAGTTTAAGAAGAGTCTATGTTGAATGGGGAGAGGAAAATGTCTTCTGTAACAATCCCAAATTGAGACTCAGGATGAGAGTTGGTGGAAATTGGAAGTACCATTGAACATCCTCTGGCACGTTAACTTGGATAAATGTATATTGATGAATTTACCATTTAGGCTCGGTTGATTGCGAGCATAGTAAAAAGGAAAATAAATTTTGGATAATTTAATTGTTTAAAACTTATTATGAAAATTATTAATTAAATATAATTGATTAATTTAGTTTTCGAACTAAACAATATTACACTTGTTTATTTTTTATTGATGGGTAGGTGAGAAAAATTAGATAGATGAGTAAGTGAATTACCTAAAAAATAAAATGCGTCTCTCCCTAAAAAAATATTTTCACGTTTTTGAAGAAAATATAGTCACATGACTAAAATTTGAAAAAATATTTTTCATAAAAAAATTGTCAATCAAACACCCCAAATGTAAAAATTTGAATGAAAAAATAATATTTTTCATAAAATAAAGTCAATCAAATACACTTTTAAATTAAAAGGAATAATTAGAGTCACGATTTCATACCTTTCAAATTTTTATAATTTTTATCCTAATCTTTCATTTATTACATTCACGATCACCAAATATTTTATTCGATTGCGACAGAAGGGCATATGGATGGAAACCATCCATTTTTTGGTTAGTTGACACGTAGGGATGACAGTAGGTCGAGTCGAGCCGGCTCAGCTCGTTAACCCACGAGCTCGGGCTCGGCTCGTTGCTCGTGGGCGAGCTCGGCTCAGCTCACGAGCTCGTGAATTTTTATTTATTATTTTTTTTTTGTTGCAAATTTTTCAAATTTTATTGATAAAATTTTATTTTTTTCCACATTTTTGGACGAGCCAGCTTGTGGGTTCGTTGGACGGGACCCCTCGCTCGGCTCGAGCTCGGGCTCGTCATTTGACCAGCCCGAACAGCCCACGAGCCGAGCTTTGATGAGCCGAGCCGGCTCAACCCAATTGACATCCCTATTGACACGGGAAAGAAGCTAATTTTTAATTTTCTTTTATTTATTTTTTTGTTTTTTAATTTATTTTATGTGAAAAATTATAAAGTTACTACTCTGCCCTCTTTAAAATTGTTAAAAATGTGGTCAATTTTTAGTTAACTAACGAAAAAATGGATTATTATCATCCCCATGTACTTCTGTCAATAATAGAATGAAAGGTTTAGAATTGCAAATACAACAAATAAAATATTAGGATGAAAGCAACAAATATTTGAAAGATTTGAAATCGTAAAAGCAATCATCCCTAATAAAAATTTTAAAATCCTTTAGAGCACGATGGATATATAAATTAATAAAAACTAAACACATAAAAGTTCACAACACATATTACTTAACTTCTAAAGTCATTTACTTTTTCTTTGTTCTAGCATCATTCCTAATTTTCTTCTACCGTATACACCACATTTCCGCGTTTTTTTTTTTTTTTTAAGAAATCAATTATTTAAGGTAAGCATCAATTAAAAGCCTCTTTTTAAAAAACGGTTAGTAAAACACAACAATTGTCTGAGTCATTGTTGACACGCTAAAAGTGCAGCCTAAATCGAATAACCCAAAGAATGAAATCCAACTGGGCAATTCAGGATAAAGGTCCAAATAGAGTTATTAATGAATGCAGTGGAAGCCCACGAACGCGGTAACACCATCACCCAAACTTGCAAGACGTCCAAGATCTGAGCGAATGAAGTGCCTTGCAGTCGCCTAGAGTTATGACCATGTTCTCGCCCAAACCTTCGAATCGCCCAAGATTTTAGCAAACATAAGATATTATGGTTATCCAAAAGTGCAGTTATCGAAGCACTTATTGAGTAATCTTATCATGTTTCACGATTCAAGGAGTTCAGTTGAAAACGGTTGAGCGACAAAGAGTAGTGGCAGCAGTTAGAGACAGCAATTCCACGATAAGTTGGTCACCATGAAGAAAGTGGGCAGTTATAAAGCAATTAAGCAGTTTCTAAGCGGTTGATCACAAAGAGAGCATCAAGGGAATATAAAAGGAAGAAAAGACATAGAGCAGAAAGACCCCGAATCAAACACTCTCAAACAGAGAATATGTAATTTCAATTTCTTAGTTTAGACTTAAACATTTCTTTCAGTACTTGTGTGCTTGCGCCCCTTGGAGGCATTCTGTTTAAGTTCCAATCGTAAAGTCATCGCTAATAAAACACCCCTTTTTGAAATTTTGTCTCAAGAGGTTTGTTCCTTATACAATCGTCTGATCCCTTTTTAATTGTTAGCGACTACTCGCGCGAAACAGTCATAATCTATGTTTATCTCCGCCAACTCTAGTTAAGAAGCATTATAGAACTGCCAAAGATAGTTTGCAATAGTTCTTGTCTTCATATCGATGTTTTAAGCAACATAAACAAAATCGATAGCATTCAATATGTTAATTGATTCAAGATTTGCTACTCATACCTTGTAGTTCTCCAAGATGCTAATATAAAACGGCACCAGTATTATATTTTTAATAGTCAAATAATCTCAGGATCACACAATTGATAACTTGACGTCGAATTAGGAAGCAAGAAAAATAGGACAACAATAATATTTTTATGTATGTATATGTTAATTTTTGTGTTTTTATCTACCCATATAAACTTTTGAGTATATCCATTATTTTTTATTTTGATTAGAATCCTAGAGAACCTTGTGTCTGTAAGCGCATTGAAGACAACATGATAATTTTTTTCATGTTGTATATTGATGACATCTTTTTGATTGGAAATGTGTGGGAGAATTGGCATTAGTAAAAATTGGTTGGTGCAACATTTTGACATGAAAGACATGAGAGTTACCAATTATGTTCTAGGAATTTAAACTTTCGGGATGCTCTCTCTCAAGCTTCATACATAAACAAAATAATGGTAATATTTGCTATGTGGAATTCCAAGAGAGGCCAAATCTATTTTATACGTGGAATTCACTAGTAACGAGAGCATTGCCATAAAACTTCCAGCAAAATGGAATACATGAAGTAGGTTCTTTACACCTTGAACTCTAAAATTCCAATAATTCTCAAAGAACGTCAGAGAGTACCCGAGAGTTGAAAATTGAACCAAGATGAAGAGCACACTAAAGCACGCTATAAACGTATTCTGTGAACACCTATTTGTTCACCTTTTTAACAAAATCATTTCTTTCTAGTTCATACACAAAAGTAATCAAATTCATGGTTACCAAAAGTTTATTATCACAAAAAATCAATTTTTATGATGTTAACATCCCGATTACTAAACAGTAATAAACGTATTGAAAATACACATGTAATAATTTTATTTTCTCTCTAATTTTCTAACTTTTAAATAAGGTGAGTTAACAAGTTGCTCATCATTTGGGACCCTGAAAATGCCTTTGTGACTTTAGGCTACACTTTTGGAAATTTTTAGATGCCACTACACAAATAATTAAAAGGCTCAGGCTGTTTCAGCCATCCAGGTGGCCAATCGACGCCATCGAAACAGATGATAATATGTCAAAGTGTCACACAATGGAAAATAAAGTGAGATATAATTGCATCAGAATGATAGAAAAAGAAAGAAAGAAAGAAAGATAAATAATACATAAATTAAAGATTAAGTTTCAATTCTTGTCCCTAACCTTTGCCCAAAGTAACAATCTTGTCCTCAACCTCTATTCATTTGGTTTTTGTCTCCAATCGTTGAGAAAATAGCAGACTTTGTCCCTACAGATGGTTTCCATACAAAAATACGATATATTTGTACAAAATGATGATCTTGCCAATTAAGGTAAGTAAACAAAAGTAAAACAAAAAATAAGAAGAGCTAAAATAAACAGAAAAAATAAGCAAAAGAGACCCAACCGAAACCACGGGGTTTACAACGACCAACGCCGCCAAATCCCCCCGGGTTTATTCCTCATCACTAAGGGGATTTTCCCCTTACTTAGCACAACCATCGACCATGAAAGCAGGGGAAATCCCCCTTGTTTTGGTCTATAATCCATTAGTTTTTGGATAAGAATTTAAATGGATATTTCTTCAAATTGTTAATGGAAAAAGCTTGATGCCATTATTTCTTAATTATTTGGTACGATCACTCTATATCTACTATGGTACTATTTACTATTTAGCTTTCAAAATACTCAAAAAAGAAAAGAAAAAAATAAAAAAGTAGATTTCGTTCCGCTAATGAAGAATTTATCAGAAGTTCCCCACCAAAAGATTTGTTACCTTTTCAATCTTTTTATGTACTATATTCTCTTAGCTATAATAAATGTTATCTTCTTGTCTGCTGTTATTTGAGGTTGCTAGCTTGAGAAACTAGCGACGCTTTCAAATGACTCTTTAGATTTAAAAAATATTCTGTACGTAATAAAGATTATTTCTAAATTTCGAAAATAAAATTTTTTATACATTCCAACAAACTCTCATCTTTAGCTTTTTGTTTTATTTCTTTAAATATTTATGATTTTTTCTATTTTTTTAATTAATATATAAATATATAGATCTCAATGATCAATAAAATCAATATATTGTTGTAATAATTGAAGAAGTGGAGCATTAAAGTCAAAAGGTAACACATGCCACAGAGGCTTCTTTCTTTCTTGAAAATCTTTTATCTCAATTTCTTACCAAAAGTATATATATTAAGCAACAATGTCGTATATTTAATTATATGGCAACTTTTTTGTTCATTAACATATCAATTTGCGCGAAGATATTCGGTTTAAAAGCCATTTATCAATTAATTTATTGTGATCCTCAAGATTATTGGCAGCAATTTCACTGGAGATAGTGTAACAAAAAGGCATGCATTATTGTATTATCAACTGTAAATTGCATCAAAAGGTTTTGGAAATGACAACTAGTTCTTCTTCTTTATGTTTGTTTTCCTCCCTTTCTTTTTAAATATATTGTGGTAATCTGATACAGAATTCTTTTTATCGCAGTTCCCAGTGGCGATGCATCATCATAGTGGTAGATCACAACAAACAATTCAAAAGTTGAATTATAAATAGTTTTTTTTTCCCTCTTCATTAAGATTCAGCCTAGCATGTCTTAGATTCAGCTGCATAGAGGCACAAGATGAATCTTTGAATGCATTTTGAAACATCAAATTTAAGTAGTATGGCCTAAGAAATTGCAATAGCTGAAAAAATCTGTAGTTGGCTCTTAAGGCAGTGGTTTCTTATGTAGAAAGAGTTGAGTCTTGATGAGAAATGAGAATCTTCGTGATTTGAGAAAGATTCACAACTTGAGGTAGTGAGATGACGAGGAACAAAGAGGAACTTTGTTAAGGTAGATCCCACACTGAATGACGCTAAAATAAATTGGGCCACTATGTTAACAAGGTTGACTTTTTAAAATCGAATCCAAATTCCGTAGAATTCAAACAAGCAAGTTCTTAATAAATTAATCTTTCGAAACGGGTCCCTAAAATATTATGTGCATTTGCACTGTTGTAATGGCTTTCATTGTCAGAGAGTTACTATATTGTTTGTGGTTATTTTTTGATATATACTGTATGGGCAACAAGTGGCAATTGCTTTCTTCGTCTGCTTTTCCAAAAGATTGGATAATTTGTAAAAGGTGAGGGGCCTTAATTCCGTGTCTTTCTTGATTTAGAAGAGCTATAATGATAGAGTAAGATGAAGTATCCATTGACAAATTTACCACAATAATGGAGAAACATATCTTTTAAGGATTATTTTCCATGTTAGGCATGCATAAAAGTAAAAAGAAACAATGATTGTTCATCGTAAACTGGTTATAGTTCTATGAGGATTTTGTTAACAGTAAAAATTAAACAATTTTCATTTTATATTTCAGCTACAAATATCAAAGCACTAGATATTAAGTATTAACTGAAGGTTGGCTTCAATGTACCTTGAGAGTAATACATCATTTTGCATATTTTGTACTTTCACCCAAGTAAAAAAAAGAGAAATGCTAGGGGTCCATAATTTTTGGTACATAGGGGTGTCGACCATTTCACATGGCTTGGGGCCCACTCGAATACATGTGAGAGGGTGGATACCCTTTTGTATAAAAAATTAGGTACAAGAATCTTTATTCCAAAAAAATAAAAAATAAAAATAAAAATTGGGATTCTTGAATATATGGGAGTTTTGTCAGACAGCAGCAGTTTGGTTGGCTAGTGACAACTTGAGTTTAGTAAATTCTATCAACATTGTTATGAAACTGTTCGACAAAATTACTGCGTGACAGTAAATTTATTCAACATTGTTTATTTCAGATATGTAAGAGTCCAGAAGTATAGATTTTGGTAAAATATTATAAGTGGGATTTTTTTATAAAAGTGAAGACATTTTCTATGAGTGTAGCTTACCAAAAGCAGTCACTTTCTTTACCATTTTATATTCAGAATTATCAGTTGTTAGGTCTCATACTTTAGGTTATTGGGTTAGCTTGCATTCATGCAGTGCTTGTTTGAGATCAAAGATACCTACTTTTTTGGGATCTAATCAAGATTCTAACGAGTGGTTCTGATTGAGAATTTTGAGAACTTCATTATTTTCTATTCAGAGCTTGCTTTCTAACTGAGAAACAAAGTTCAACTTATGCAAACCGTATGGTCTCTTCACCCTTATTTCCATTGTTTTAACTTATCCCGGTCATAATTTTCAGTATTTACTTGTAATATTTGTTGATTCTTCATAGAATGATATAACCTATGTGTCTATATGTGTGTGTGTGGGGAAATACCGAAAATTTACACGTTTGAACATTATTAGTACTTGGAACAAAGGGAATTTCCGGTTTCGACCCGAAGCTTAATCCACTAAAGTTATCTGCCAACTTATCTTTTGTTCAGTTGCGTACTAATATTCCAAAGATAATTGAAAACTTGTTCTACTCTTTTTGAGGGTGGGTTATAAATTATTTTCATTCATTGTTGACCAAAAACTGTCCATACCTTTATGTAAACATCTTTATCTAGTATTAGGGGTTTGTGTCTGTGAGTCTGTTGTCATTCTTAGTCTTTTTAAAAAAAAAAATTTCTGAAAACCATTTTCTTGTACATATATTGCCTTTCTAGCTAGATATTTAGCTATGATCTGTAGTTTTCATTTGACTCCATTTATGCATTGTACAATTCTGCGAATAAAATTTCTTTTTCTTCACCAGGTCATTGATATGATTACTCCAACAACTCAATTCACCTCCTCAAGCACAATGGGCGTGTTTGAACCAATCCACCAAATTAGCATGTGGGATGATGCATTTGGAGGAACCATTAGTCCCAATACAGATGCGTGTATAATCGCACAGGCAGATGCAAAGCTAGATGAAAAGGTAAAGTATCTTCAAATTCAATCCTTTGGATAGTATAATTTCAGATTGGTGTTTTCTCTGACAGGATTTTCTCATATTTGATTACAGTATGAATATGCTTCTGATAGATCTCTGGAACCCGCTGGAGATGACCAAACTGCAAACATTAATAGAAATAAGGTGGAATCAGTCTGGATGCTGAAAACCTGAAGTTCTTGACTAATAAAGATATATACTGAATCATCAATTGGCTATCTAATGATAGGTACAAAGACGTCTGGCACAAAACCGTGAAGCTGCTAGGAAAAGCCGTTTACGCAAGAAGGTATAGACGATCTCCACCCTATGATAATTTTTGCTTATTGCAGCGTGTCTAGAATTTTTCAGTTTTATTTCTTGCCAACCTCTTTTTTACAGGCTTATGTTCAGCAACTGGAAACAAGCCGTTTGAAACTGGCACAACTTGAGCTAGAACTTGAAAGAGCTAGGCATCAGGTTAGATATAGATTATCTTTCCCAGTTTGCTCTGTATCTGCTTCGCGTTCATTGCGATTTGTTTAAAATCTGAAATGTCAGCCAATGATTAATTGCAGGGTTTGCTCATTGGGGGTGCAACTGCTAATATGGGATTATGTGGAAGCGTAAATCCTGGTACGTTCAATTTGTTTGGCATGGCACAAAACGATGTAATCCTCATATTAACTTATAAGTGCCACCAAGATATCTGGGATACATGTGCAGGAATTGCTGCATTTGAGATGGAATATGGGCATTGGATTGAAGTGCAACAAAGGAAAATTTATGAGCTTAGAAATGTTTTGCAGTCTCCAAACGGTGATGTGGAGGTCCGTTTACTCGTAGAGGATGTAGTAGAACACTATGGCAATCTCTTTCGCATGAAAAGAGATGCCGCCAGAGCTGATGCCTTCTACTTAGTGTTTGGCATGTGGAGAACGCCGGTCGAGCAATTTTTCCTCTGGATTGGAGGATTCCAACCATCAGAGCTCATTAACGTAAGCGTTGCTATATATTAAACTAGCTCTTCACCATACTTTAGACCTCGTACTCAATAAAAAACTTTTCACTTAAATGGAATCCTATAATCAATTCGTTCATTGTGGAACTGCTTTTACATAATAGGTTGTGATGCCTCAACTTGAGGACTTGACAGATCAGCAATTAGTAAAAGTCCGTAACCTGCAACATTCTTGTCAACAAGCCGAGGATGCTCTCAAACAGGGAATGGATAAGCTTCGGCAGACTCTAGCACAGAGCATAACAACTCTGGCCGGTGAAGCGACAAGTTACAGTTCTCAGGTGGTCTCTACTAGGGAGAATTTGGAATCACTGGAAAGCTTTGTACAACAGGTACTATTTCATTTCCTATAAGATGTTGAGTTGGAAAGTTTATACCTATTCCATTTCTTGAAATCAGAACGATTGTTAAAATTTCCAAAATTTTTATCAGAAAGCAAGACAATGTGGCTATTTATTATTCGATGTGTATAATCATATACAACCTACCAGATGCATCTTTGTCATAGGACAGGTGTGTGTTAACAAAGAACTCGATTTGGAGTTCGGCTGTGTAATAACTGGCAGTTCATTTAGTGAAAAGATGGTTTACGAAGAACCGTTAACCCTTTGATCCCTTACATTGAATTTCATAGTAGGCCGTAGAACTTAAAAACAATGTTTTCTAACATTTTAGGATGCTTCATTTTTGGATGGCTCTGCCCATTTTGTCAATATGTTATCCTACTGCTTCCTATTGATTGATTTCTCCACAGGCAGATCATCTTCGGGAGCAAAGTCTGCGAAGAATGTCCTGCATTCTAACACCACGCCAAGCTGCAAAGTGTTTGCTCGCTTTTGGGGAGCATTTACAAAATCTGCGAGCTCTTGGCTCACTCTGGGCTGCTAGTCCTCGGAAATTCGCATAAGATACAACCTACCTTAGGTTATGCTAGAGTTGTAAATGTAATATGTAATCATAATTTTGCTTAGAAGTCACTGATTATTGTTCTATGGACACGGCTTCTTAAGTTTGAATATCGTAAGTATAAACTACAATTAGAAAAGTTCTAATGTCGTCACTTGGTCAAGTTAAAACTTATCGTCTCCTAATGCCCAGATTCATCTTCAGATTTTCCCTAATAGAAATGTTATGGAAATAGTACATTCTTGAAATTTCACGTACCAGCAACGTCATATTCTCACAGTATTGAGGTTAGTAATTATAAATTTGTGTAAGGGACTCAGTTTATTGAAGATATGGTTAGAAATTTATTCTTTTGGTATTAGCTTTATATTTGGAATGTTTATACAATCTTAACCTTGATGAAGTTGAAGGCCATGTAAGTTAATAAGCCAAATCTATAAAAACTGCTGGTGGAAATCCTCCATCGTCGACTTGAGAATGTGAGTAGTCGAAAGAGCGGATGAAATAGCAGAATGTGATTAGTCGAAAGGCACGTCTTAGCAAAGTCTATACTCAAAGTTTGTTTTTTGTTTCTAGTTTGATGAATTATAAACAATATTTAAGGAAAAATGAATGTACAAAGTGGGTTTGACGCAAGAAGTTTGTAAAAAATTGAGGAGAAGGAGAAATTGAAGTTTCAATCTCTCTCTCTATTTTTTTTTTCCCCATCATTTTAAATCAAAGAACCTTTAAATTTATAAATATATTTGTTCTCAATTCTCCCCAAGAGTTACAACCTTTTGGATTGTAAGTCACATAATCAAAACTGGGGTGTACATGGACCAAAAAATGGGACAAGTCACGAACAGTTCGGCACCTGTTCTGAACAGAACAGAGGGCGACCAGCAGGCAAGATCACCTGGTGGTGGAAGCCATTTTCCCCATCATTTTAAATCAAAGAACCTTTAAATTTATAAATATATTTGTTCTCAATTCTCCCCAAGAGTTACAACCTTTTGAATTGTAAGTCACATAATCAAAACTGGGGTGTACATGGACCAAAAAATGGGACAAGTCACGAACAGTTTGGCACCTGTTCTGAACAGAACAGAGGGCGACCAGCAGGCAAGATCACCTGGTGGTGGAAGCCAAAAGAAGCTCCAATTAATAGATGAGCCGATGGCAATACCTATTGAGAAAAGGCATAAAAAAAGAATGATCAATAACCAGGAGTCTGCGGCCGGTCGAGCACTAGGAAACAGGTTAATTATTGGAAATCATTATGTTAAACTACCTCGTCCAAAAGATTAAACATCTAGATGAGGTGGTTCAATATAATAAATGAAAACAAAAATTTTGTGAGTTCAAGCATCACTACCACTCATTTGTGAAAATCAGCACGTGTCAAGGTTCGACAAAGGGCATGTCGAATAAAAATAAGTCTTTTGGAGTTTAAGCTCTTAGACGAGATGAAAGCTCTAGAATTTGAATCCCTTTTTCATACTGATAGTGCAGGCTTACACCTGTCAATTGCAGCATCAGGTGTTGCAACTGCAGACCACAAAATAATTGGCTGAAAAGGCCAAAGGTATATTCTATAAGTTCTGAATAATCTAAGTTCTGATTTTTCTAATTTTTCAAGGCATTGTCTAACCAAATATTTCATTAATTCGGATAGATTTTTCATAAAATCCAGTTTCAAGAAACACTAAAAGTAAGAGGTTTCCGATTCTTATAGGGACAAGATGATAAGATGAAGGAAGATAATTGGCAGATTCAAAGTTGTTGTGAAATGCTTTCGCTTCACTTTTTCTCCTCTCCATACTTTTATCAAAAGTTTGGTGGAATAATACGTAAATTTTCAGTTTTAAGTTCTTCAGATTATTAAAAAAAATCAACTATTTTTTAACCAGAGTTGTGTCAGGTCTAGATCTCTGGTTCAAATGAACCAATTTGAGAGAGCCTTGTTTTCATAAAGTATAAAGCTATGAATGGACATAGGGTTTAAATCCAGCTGCTGCCACGCAGCACGTAACTGGGTACTTTTTTTTTTTTAATAAAAAAACTGACCAATCAAATGTTGACACCTGGCATCTGATTTAATCCCTATCCCCATTTCTTGTTTTTGTAACAAAACTCTTTCATAAATACTTGATCCAAAACGAAGAAAAATGTGATAGTGGGTGTTGAAGAAATTTTATATTTAAGCTTATAGTATGTTTCCGAAGGTTACTTTTTTTAAGTACTAGTGAGACGCACGTGCCATAGTGTAGTTAACTATGTAATAGCATAGATGTAAAAAATTTTATTTATGTTCAGTATTAGTTATATTAAACTTAAGCATATGTTGCTAAATGTTTTGAGACAACAACATTGCAAAAATGATGTATTCAGAATCATAAATTATGTTCCAGTTAAAGGAGAAATCCCTCAAGTAAAGTGTTTGAAGAGACAGAAATGGATAACTTATATTCGGTGGCAGAATTCTAGTTTCCATTTGAAAAGAATTTATTTGTTTTGACTCTAATAATGATCATACGACACAACGAGAAATGAATGAACTTTTGTACATTGAACCTCATGCACCACTGATATAAATAAAGGAGTTTTTGCATTGTAATAGATACAACTTTGATAATGAAATAAACTGATCTTTCATCTCCTAAATTCTCTCTATTCTTTCCATCTTCTTTCCTCTTTTCCCATCCTTTCCCCTCGTTTCTCTCCTTTTTTCCTTTGGGTTTGTTTTTTTTTTTTTTTTTTTTTTTTAAAAAAAACTGACCAATCAAATGTTGACACCTGGCATCTGATTTAATCCCTATCCCCATTTCTTGTTTTTGTAACAAAACTCTTTCATAAATACTTGATCCAAAACGAAGAAAAATGTGATAGTGGGTGTTGAAGAAATTTTATATTTAAGCTTATAGTATGTTTCCGAAGGTTACTTTTTTTAAGTACTAGTGAGACGCACGTGCCATAGTGTAGTTAACTATGTAATAGCATAGATGTAAAAAATTTTATTTATGTTCAGTATTAGTTATATTAAACTTAAGCATATGTTGCTAAATGTTTTGAGACAACAAAATTGTTAAAATGATGTATTCAGAATCATAAATTATGTTCCAGTTAAAGGAGAAATTCCTCAAGTAAAGTGTTTGAAGAGACAGAAATGGATAACTTATATTCGGTGGCAGAATTCTAGTTTCCATTTGAAAAGAATTTATTTGTTTTGACTCTAATAATGATCATACGACACAACGAGAAATGAATGAACTTTTGTACATTGAACCTCATGCACCACTGATATAAATAAAGGAGTTTTTGCATTGTAATAGATACAACTTTGATAATGAAATAAACTGATCTTTCATCTCCTAAATTCTCTCTATTCTTTCCATCTTCTTTCCTCTTTTCCCATCCTTTCCCCTCGTTTCTCTCCTTCTTTCCCATTTTTCCCTTCTATAATTCACTATGTGGTTCGATAGCATTATTCGTCGGTATGACAAGCAAAATCCTGTCAAGTTGATGGCACTGGAAACAGCCATGAGAGGTCAAAAGGGCAGTGATTCGATAGTGATAATTTGGATCTATATAGCTGTACTGGTACGAAACAATTTACAGAATTGAATTGAACATATGTTTGTGTTTTTCTGTATTGTACTGACGAGAACAGCAATGAATTACAAATCAAATTTAAAGAATTTACAAGTTATTGTTGAGCATTCGAGAGGCTCAACTCTCTCCCTCACAATTCTCCATTTCCTGAATGAATCACTGAATGATCCGTCCCAGCCCTTTTATTGGCACTCAATTTATTCCAGAATGTCACCTTTTTTTCACTTTCTCAACAAACTACTTAATGAACTAACTAATGATCTGGTAATGAGAAATAATCCACTACAACTCAGCCACAGTGTCATCAGAAGTTTCCCTCTCATGACAAAATTCAAACCAAATTGTCACGTAGCATGTTTTGTTTCAAACCATTAGCTATGATGCACAGAGCCAAGAATTCTTCAGATTCTAACATATATCATGTTGTGTTCCATGAAAGGAATGATGTGGGACTTCATTAAACGAAGGGTTGGCGCAAACAAAGGACATTAACTGAACATCTAGACTAAAAGCACACAACAAAATTATAAATTTTTTAACCATACATTCTCTAACAAAACACTATTCCAAAATGCATTTGGGGAAAAAATTTGGATTCAAACAAGGGCTAAGGCCATCTCCAATGTATGCACCATTTCACCAAAATGCACAAAATTTTGGTTCAAATTTCCTCTAGTGTGGCACCAAACTTTGTACCATTCTGTACCAAAAATGATGCAAAGTCATATTTGCCCTTTTTTTCCATTTGCCAAAATGATTGATGAAGGGTATTTGGGTCATTTGTGTTACATATTTTTTAATACAATTATTTTCATCATCATCATTATTATTATTATTCGCATTTAAAATAAATTTTAAATATAATAAATAATATTTAACGAATTAATTAAAATAAGAATACAAAATAATAATAATAATAATATAACAAACACGATTATTTAAAGTTAATATGGAATGATTTAATATTTTCATTTTTGTAGTGTTTTTACTAATTGTACTATGTTTTCTATATTTATTAATAATTTAATATTTTCATTAATTTAACGTAATTATTTACTTAGTAATTTATGTATTTGTGGAATAAATAAATAAAAAAAGAGAAGGAAATGAGTAAATAATGTTCATTTGGTATAAGTTTTAATATAATGCTTGGAGATGATTTGTAGTTTGGTGCAAGATTGGAGATGACCTAAATATGGTTTTATGTACTGCCCTTAAAACAGTTGTGGTTAAGTGCAACTTTTGCTTGAATGAAGTCAACAAATGCTAAAATCTATTAAGAAATCTTTATAATTGTCTGCAAATGCTTATCTCTATCCTTGCTTCATCTCAAACACAAAAACTAAGACTGATGAACGCAAAAAGAACTAAGAGCCAACCATTCCCCACTAATAGCAACAAACGTCGATTATAAACCCTTTCCGCCACTCATTAGTCATTTGCTTGAAGCACAATTACTGGTACCATCATAAAGGAAATATATTACTCCGGATTCAATCTAATAGATACCTTTTCTCTCATACATCCTCATCACCAATATGTTCAACTGCACATGCAACTTAGATAATAGAAATAAGACTATGACAGAAACAAAAAATTAATATATTGACTATGGTCGTGTAAATCCATCACTTCACATTAATCTGAGCAACAAAAATGAAAACCAAGGAGGTGGTGGTGGTTTGACGGTGCACAATCAAAATGAAATAAAGTCATAGTTATTTGATCGAAATAAATCAGACAACCAAGAATCTGTATAGACATGTAAACATATATTTATTATGTGCCCCTTTCTGAAGTATGTGATAAGTGTAGTTTCTACACTTATTCGAGTGCCTAAAAGATGACATTTTACTGTTTTTTAGATAAAAAACTAGCTAACTTATGTTATATTATATTTTGTAGGTAAAACTCGATGTTTGATGAGTAATTAAAGAAAGTAGTTCAGAAATAGTGAAAAATGGCGAATTTTGAAATTCAGGGACTAAATTGCAAAAAAAAATCATAGATGAGATGGATGACGAAATGAAGATCAAAGATGCCAAGGGTTTAATTGGATACAAATGGACGATGAAGGAATAAGATTACAAGAGAAAATGACCGAAATGAAGCAAATTCAAAGTTCTGAGACTAAAGTGCAAATATTTAAAAGTTGTACGGAACCTTATGATGAAGATTTGAGAGTGTTAGAGGTCAATTTTATGAGGAAAGAAGTTAAAGGGATGAAATATAATCGAAATATTATTACATATTAACTTTTAGTCGAAAAAGTTGACATTATAAATTAAAATTGTTCATTAAAAAGCCAAAAATTATAAATTTGATAATTAAAAGTTAAGAATAAATTAGTGCGAGAACAACATAAATACCTTAAAAATATAAATTAAAATAAAGTACAATGATTTAGTACTCCAAAATATCTTTTCCAGTTACTCCAAGATCGTCAAAATATTCATGAAAAGAATCGGTGGTATTTTGAGATCATTCACCTTCTTATTATGCACGTGAGACAATATAATAAATGTGTATTACATGATATAATGACCGCTTACATTATTGTGCACAATATAATAATTAAGGATGAACATGATGTTAATGCATGAATTAAAAATTCGATGGAAGCGATAACTTTGAAAGTTGGAGATGATTTTAGATGAAAATATTCGATTTCAAGAATTTCTTACTCGGCATAGACAAATCAAGGATATAGATGCGTACTTTGCACTACGAGATGCATTAATTGATCATGTATGGAATGAATATACTGATTCCGATAAATAAGTGATAAAAGGAGTTATTAATTTCATTATATGTAACTTTTTGTGAGTTCAATGTAATTTTGTAATCATGGTATTCTGTTTTTTTTTTATTAAATTATGCAATATTTTAATTTCTTAAATATAATTTTAATTCATTCAATATAATATTTAATTAAAAAATTTATCTTCAAAATTAAGTGTAGAATTTGATATAAAACAATCTCCAATGGTCTATACCAAATTTTATTTGCAAAAGTTAATAAAATCATTGAAAAAGATCCACTAAGCCCTTGCTTGACCACCATTATTTGAGTAAAATGGAGTTTTGAAAAGTGAATTTTTAAATAATGCGTGGTTAAAATTAATAAAAAAAATGTGTTTACATGTAAAATGTTTTATCGTCCAAATGTGTAGTTAAAAATAAGCATGTAAAAAAATGAATTTTCAAATAATAATTGTCAAATAGGGCTAAATTGCACCAACTTTGGTGTGGTCAATGCTTTAGATCCAGTTGTTATTAGCCCAACTAAGGTTCGTCTTAGTTTCAGAGGTTTGGCAGATGAATAATGCTACATGAACAGACTCAATGACAAGCCACTTTTTGATAGATCGATTTAGCAGTTTGTGATTGATAGTTTTTTGTTAAACTTTTTTTAAATATCAATAAAAAATTTGTCTAATATATTTGTATATAAAAATCTAGAAAAATGCTCCGTGTATGGGGTTCACCCCTATGTTTGTGTCCCTGTACATACTCTGTGCAAATGAGTCTGTATAAGTAGCACAACTCAAAAATCTATTATTAAGTCTGTTACTATTGCAAAACTGTGGGCAGATAAATAAAACCAAGTCAAGAATGTGGATTGATGCTGGCCTATGCTAGCAGGGCTAGGGAATCATATAATGCATTAATTGCTCCCCAGAACAAATTCTTAGGCCAATAAAACGCCTTTTCATTTTTGATTAACGTATTTAAAACTATTGAGGGCTGTTTGGGCCCGATTTTTTCACCCAAAAAATTGATTTTTTGACCGTTATTTCATTATTTCAGTCGTCATATTTGACTTCTTCTCTCATAGGTGGATCCCACTTTTCTTCTAACAGTCAAAAAATCAATTCTCAAAATCACTCCCAAATAGCCTCTTGATCAATCTATGGGAAAATTACGTTTTATTAAATAATATATTCATTGAATTGCAATCGCATAATTTATTTGATAAAACTTATCAAGTACAGCAATTTGAATTGGTAGCACCACTAGATAATAATATTTTTTTTCTACCTTTACTTTACTGCCCATGTTATGAGTTCATGTTAAATGTTTTTTCAAAGAATACAAAATTACTTGTATTTTATAAGTTTTTTGGGAGTATTTTTTTCGGCTAAAAGAGCTTTTAAAAAAAGTTGATTTGATGAAATTTTCTAATAAAACTCTTATATAAAGAGTAGAAATCTTGTCAAATGGGTTCTATGTATTTAAGGTTGCGATTCTATGAAATATATGGAACATTAAAATGAGGTAAATAAAAAATTATAAGCATATTTTAATAGTTATCCCTCTTCTTTTATTTGTAATATAAATTAATCACTCCTCTTATACAGTGGTGAAAAATGACCCACGTGTACAATTTTAAATTTACTATGCACAAAACTCAAAATGCGTTTTTAAAGTTTTGAGTGTTTTCATGGGAAATAAGTGTTTCATTAAAATTTTATAAAATAAAGATAAAATTTAAAAATAAAAAATATCTAAAATTACAAAATAAAAATCTAAAAAATTTATTAGAAAATAAAAATTATGAAAAATAAAAAATAAGAATAATCCACGTCATTAATTTTAAATTTTTATGTTTCACCTACTCAATCTATTATCTGTATTTGTTTACTTCTATAACAAAAAAAATAAAAATAAATCGCTTGATAATCTATTAAGTTAAAATTGTTCTATACTCTAGAATAATCAAAATTTTAAGGAATAAAATATCATAAAACAATTTTTGAAAATTCCGAGCTAACATGTTTTCTAATTTTCAGTTTTGAAAAATAATTTTTCAGATTAAAAATCAAATGCTTTTTTTTGTAATATTAAAACAAACTTTCAAAATATAAAACTGAAAATGAACTCAAAATTGAAAATCGAAACACAAACCAAATAAACCCTTTTCATTTTGTATTTTTCCTTTGTTAAATCATTTATATTTCTTTTTTTCCCCTTTTATTATTTCTTCTTATTTTGTTTATCTAAACTTGATAGAACACTATCTAAACATCAATAAGTTATTTTCACAAACAAAATGCCCAAGAGTAGAGATTGATATGTTTCTTGACAAGAATTGTGATGAAGAAAATACCACCGATTCAAATAAAATACATTCAAAATCATTGTCTAGATCCAACTTATAAAATTTCTCAAATTTGATTATATTTGCTCCATTGGGGGAAGAATTTATAAAAAGTTTAATGAGAGGCAGGGGATCGCCTATTCGACAGCTTTAACGAGACTTCTTCTTTGGTCATTGCTTGGGCCAAGTTAAGTAAAGACTGGCTACTACTTCTCTCAGAAGGAAAGACGCTTATAGGATGCTTTTGACGATAATTGCTCCTACGCATCCCAAAGCGCACTACTCGCAGGAACATGTATATACAGAATACTGAGAATTTCCACCTTGTTGAAGTCGTTAAAACAAGTGAGCTTGAATCCGCTTTTCTTTAAATTAAAGGGTCCCGTCACCCAGGATTTCTTCCAAGACGTCTACCGATCAAGTGGTTTCATAAGTGCAGCAAGAGAGATCAATCCTAGTGATGTTTCAGGTGTGCTTATGGCATTTGATGTATAGATTTATAGATGGATAAATATATAATAATTATAACCTTTGCCAAACAAATCCTTCATATAACTGTAGGCCTTACATATTCAATCACCTGATATGCACGTGACAACTTGAAAACGAATTTGGCACGAAAACTTTCACTTGATGCCCTGTCTTTAATGAAAATTGAATAAACCGAAGTGTAGTTTGGTACTCTAACCATGGTTAAAAGGAGGAGTCATCCAAACTCATCATCCATCCCATTAAAGGGTCCCGTCACCCAGGATTTCTTCCAAGACGTCTACCGATCAAGTGGTTTCATAAGTGCAGCAAGAGAGATCAATCCTAGTGATGTTTCAGGTGTGCTTATGGCATTTGATGTATAGATTTATAGATGGATAAATATATAATAATTATAACCTTTGCCAAACAAATCCTTCATATAACTGTAGGCCTTACATATTCAATCACCTGATATGCACGTGACAACTTGAAAACGAATTTGGCACGAAAACTTTCACTTGATGCCCTGTCTTTAATGAAAATTGAATAAACCGAAGTGTAGTTTGGTACTCTAACCATGGTTAAAAGGAGGAGTCAGCCAAACTCATCATCCATCCTAAAACAAAGCATTTGATTCTATTCTTTCTTTTTCTTTTCCATAAATCAAACTCACAAAAAATAAAAATAAAAGTCTCAACCACTCTGTGCCCTCTATTCTCTTCTCTTTCACGCACACACACACACTTCCATTCTTCTTTACAAAGTCGAAATACCTGCTGCCCGTGTTGCCCTCGTAGACTTCACCAAGAAAACCTCTGGTCAGCTCTCTCTCTCTCTCTCTCTCTCTCTCTCACGCACACGCACTCTGCATTAGGTTAAAGTCATTCATGGTTGTTTTGAGGAAATTTTGAAGCTCGACAGTTCTTCAGATCTATCTCTGTTTAACTAAACTTTTTCTCAGTTTCTGGTATAATTTTCCTCTTCATTTTCTCACAAAATTTACTTTTTCAAGTAAAAATTTCGCTTATTTTTGGCTGTTTATCGCTTCAAATTTTCTACTTTTCTGCCTCTAATTTCTTCTATGAATATTTCTGATTTCAACGACAGTATTATTGTATTTCTTGTTTTCTCAAATTAATATATCATTTTTTTCTTAACTTTTTACTGTTTCGACTTTCCAGGATTTTGTGAAATGATAATAAAAAAATAAATAAATTCTGTTTTTGTTAAAATTTTCAATAATAAAGTATAACACTAAAACAGGTGATTTTAGCAATTTAGCTGCTTCTTTTTTTGGATATTTCTTAATTTATTTTTTCTGTTATTTTTCAGAAGGAAAAATAAATAAATAAATATTTTTACGATAATTATTAGGATTTACTTTACGGATTATGGAGGATGGAAGTTTCCAACGGATTCGGAGAAGATCTAACGGACTTCTGATTTTGGCAGGTCAACTTTGTCGAGTTGCCGTACATATGGAGGTGATTGTTAACCACGCTCCGCTAACGTGCGCCAGGGAGACTCTTTGCTCACTCCTCCTTTTGGTCAAAGCTCACCACCTCTACCTGGCTCAAGTAAGCAAACTTAAGTCGATTTAGCATTATTTTTTTTAATAATAGAGTTTTGTACCTTTATTTTATTTTTTTTGGAAACTAAATTTTTTTTAAAAAAATTCTATTTTGAAATTCCTATTTCATTGGATCAGTTTCCTAAAAAAATTATTTTAACTAAAACAAGTACTTTTATAAAATTAATCAAATATATTTAAAAAAATTTTAAAAGCCCTTTTTAACTTTTCAAATATCATGCCAAACAGCCTCATATCTTTAATTATCATGTTCGGGATTTTAAAAAGAATTGAATACTGCTGTTTATCACCATTTTTGTTTGTCTCTGAGACAGTGAGATTATTGTTATGGTATTTAATAACGACTAATGATGCAAAATAATTTTTTGATAGGATTAATGCCTTTTTTTTTTTTCCTTCCTTTTGACCATGAGAAAGACCTTTTCACCATGAAAAGTAATCAGATTCTCGAAAATAAAAGCTAATTCGGGTATTGATTGTTTATTTGCGTTTTATGTAAGATAGGACTTGTGTATTTACTTATACTTCTCGTAAAGTAATTTTTTGCAAGAATTTACTTTAGATCAATTACTTCTAAAACTCTTTTACACAGGTAAAATGTTTCAAAAAAATTCAAATTTTTTTTTTTTTTTTTTTTTACCTTAAAAGCAATTTTTAATTTTTTAAAAAGCATTATGAAACCGTTCCTTAATTCACTGCACGACTTAGCATGCTTTCATTTCTATTGTAGAAAGACGTATTCTATCGATGGTAAAATATTTTTTAAAGGTCAATTTTAGCTTTTTGTTACTTTTAAGCTAATAAAAAATTTTGATTGCAAGACTTATTTTTCCGTTTAATTACAGTATGGTGTCAACTGTCATATTAAATGCTAGCTTGCACCTACTGCTAGTTTGCTCTTCTCGGAACCCAAAGAAGAATAAATTTGGATTATATGCCTTTTTGAGATCCGGGTTGTTTGATGCTGGGCCCCAATAGAATTATATAGTCTGCCACACTTGGTTGGGCTTGTAACCTTTTTAATGAAACCAGCAAACGGCTAGTAGTAGTAAATTAACAAAAAAAATTATATTTGAAAGAAAATAGAACCAATTTACCTAAAATTAAATCATTTGCATTTTAGTTGGAATATGTCGAAATTTCCTATGACCTGTTTGGAAGAACTTCTATTTTTACTCTTATTTTTTGTAGAACAATTTCTCGAGGAAGCTGCCTTAAAATAAACTATTTTCCTCTAATGTTCTTCACTTTTAAAAAATTATTTAAGCATGTTAAAAAGTAACTTTTGACTTTTGAAAAACTCTATGGATCTTAAAAACTTTTTATTTCTCTTAAATATCCAAAAATGATGTACATTTTCTTGTTCTTCGTAAAAATATGTGGTCTTTCTCATTGGAGTCAAAGTTTTTTTTGATTATTTTAGTGCAAGTTTAGTTGTTAATTGTTATAAAAAGCTAGAGACCAATATATTCTTAGTTTTGGTACTATAAGATATTCGAATATTCCCTTGGGATATTTTTAAAAGAATTTCAGACCTAGAAATAGTATGCAGTATGGGTACCCTTGGGCTGAGGCGTCATAATGGGCTGATGCATAAGCCAAGAGGCACGGCCCATGCACCACGGCCCAAATCATCTAGTCTATAAAGGATGGCCTATGAGCAAGGCTGGACCTGTGTTTTGCGGGGCCCAAGGCAAACTTCAGATTTTGGGCTCATAAATCATAACTAGCAATAAATTTGTTTCATTTATAAGAGATTTAAGGAACTAAATCTGTTAACTTAAAATCAAAAAATAAAACAAAGAACATGAAATATTTAAAATATATATATTATAATCAAATGCCAATGCGAAAATATTCTAAAAGATCACTTAAATCCAAGTCATCTTGCAGTTTTTGAGACAAAAATATGCATAACAAATTCATATATAGGATAGGGCCAAATTGAAGCAACCTATGTCACATTTTTTACTTAATCTTCTTCACATATAGTCATATAGAGTGGCTTAATTTCTACAAAATTGAAGTAAATTGACCTGGTTGCTAGTTAATTGAAGTTTAATAACCTAACTGCATTTAGGCAAACGTTTTGCGATAGACAATACAACTAAACCAAATTTGTGCAAATTGTCGTGTGTGCTGTGTGCACATGTTAGTTTTGAGGAGTTGCACTTCGAGTCTCAGTGCCGTCACTAACGATTGCCGTGGACTGTGGAGGAAAATGAATTATTGTGTTGAAGTTGAGTTTTTAAAAATAGGGATACACCATTTTCTTGGGCCCATCAATATGCTGGGCCTGAGGCATAGGCCTCTTGGGCCTCTCCTCAGGTTCGGCCTACGTATGAAACAAATCCCCTAGTCCACATAGCCCAATGGAGGTATGGTCCAGTCCAATGGTAAATATTGGGTTGGGTCACATTTTTCACTTATTTTACTGTATTTCTTGTTTCTTTTTTTTTCTTTATGAGTAAAAAGTGAAAAAATATATTGTTCACAAGTATTGATCATTGTTGTTTCATAAATGTGTGGATATTTGCCATTCTGAAATTGGGATCTTAATCAAATAGTTTCAGGAAATTTTGACACCGATGATGATGAATGCAATTCAGTTCAAAGGGGATCATAGCAATGATAATGAGTTTGAAGTAGTTGATGCGGGGGATAAAGACGAAGATGACAACGATGATGAAGATGGTGGTCTTGGAGATGGGGTGGAAGATTTTTCCCAAGAGGGAGGAGGGCATGCAAATAAGACTCCCAACAACAATGGCGGTGCCAAAGCCACAGAAGGGAATGGAAACAACGAAGATGCAGAAGATGATGATGATGCCGCTAACGGCCACAATGATGATGACGAGGATGATGACAACGATGATGACAATGACAATGATGATGATGAAGATAATGATAACGATGAGGAAGATGACGAGGAGGAAGTTGTGGAAGAGGAAGAGCCAGAAGATGACGAGGAGGATGAAGAAGAAGAGGAGCTCCAGCCTCCTAAGAAGAGGAAGAAGTAGATGATGTAAAATGTCTTCTTCGATTAGGTCATTGACCTTGTAACCCTATCTAGCTCATAAGGGAGAACTATTTAGATGTTTCATTGCTTTCATTTGCATGTTTTATTATCATTTCTAAGTTTGAGGATATTTGACTAAGCAAGATCTCTTGGAGCACTTCACGACTTTCATTATTAATTTTACTTTTGTTTAAATTTTTCTTTTATACTTCGTGTCAAATTTATTTAGCTTTTAGTGAAAAGATTATTACGTCAGTGGCAACCTGCAAATAAAAACCAGAAAACAAATGCTAATACTGAAATGCATGCTTCAAGTCGAATAGAAATATAAAAAAGAAAGCTAAAATTAAATATTTCACTCAGTGCAAAAGCCAACCTTGCCAAAAAATTGTTTTATCGATACATGAATATATAGACGGTGTAAAGTCACATTTGTCTTGGACATGAAAATAAATTTTATCTTTTGACTTGAGAGCACAAGGATCCAAAAAAATCCTTAATTCTTGTTAGGAAATCCCAAAGTAAAAAGAACTGAAGGGCATTCTCGTTGGAATTCTATTTCCTTCTGTGCATATGAAATTTCGTGTTGTGGTTTTACCAGGGTTGATAATCGGGTCAAGTTGCTCGTGAGTTTAGTCCGTGAACAATTTGGACTCATTTTGATATGAGCAATGGGTGGAATTGAGCACCGTTTTGCATTTTCACGAACCGAGCAAGCTCAGCTCATCTTGGGCTCTTGGCTCCTAAGCCACCAATGGTCATAATTATAATCTTTTAAAGACGATTACTTTTTATTTTTACTTTTTCAAAATGGTCAAATTTTTCTATATAAACTCCCATTTCATTCCACACACACACCCCCCCCCCCCCCCCCCCCCCCCCCCACAAACCACAAAAAAAAAATTTACCCCCCCCCCCCCGCAAAAAAAAAGAAAAAAAAAATCAAACAAAAATCTATCTTTTCAATCTGAAATTGTTATAATCTTCATATTCGCTCTTTTATTTTGCAACCTAAAGTTTTATTATCTCTATATTGCTTATTTGAGTTATTTCTGTCCAATTGAAGTATAAATTCCCTTATTTTATCACCTTCTATATATTATTCCAAATATATTCAAAAGATTAATTGTTAGAAACTAGTGATTTCAACCAATACTTTGATACTTTCAATACCCCAAGAACAAATACGCCATTAGATCATGTTTTTGCTTTCTCAACCAAAATGTTATAATATCTTCAATGTACCTAAAAGTTTGAAAAAAAAGTAGCGTGAGCCGTTGAACAATCAAGAACCAACTACAAAACAACAAGTATAATTCTTTAACTACGTTGTTTTTCACTAACTTAAGTGTATATTTTCTCTGAATCCAACTACTTTTTGACCATCTTTAAGAAAAAATAGAAACAGAAAAAAAAAAAAATGAAATACTGTTTACCAAAATTGAAAAGATTAAGCTCAAATCTGAAAATTCATTGGCATTTTCTGCAACAACTATAGAATTCTATTCTAATTTTCTTGAAAGGCCTAAACAATCTGTACAAACTTGCTGGTGAATCAATTTAAATTGTACTCCTGAACTGCAGTCGAGCGGGGAAGTGTACGGTATAATTTGGCTCTTCCCTCCTCCACACAGTCGAGTCAGTGCAATCCTTTCTTTCAAAACCCATGGCAGCTCCCCCCATGCAAAACAGATAACAGTATAAGAGCTAGCTCCTTCTCAATGATACTATCATTTCGCTCATTTTTTACGCGACGATATTCAGCTAAAATCTCCTCAGACACGATCGAACTTCTACAAAGCGGGCACGTAGCCTTGTATTCTTGTAGCCATTTCTCCACACAATGTCTATGGAACATATGTTTGCATTTCAGCTCTCTAATCTTTTCACCTGCCACAAATTCAGACCTGCAAATGGCACATTCTTGTAACTCCGAATTCGGGTTCCTTCTGTAAATAAATTTCGAGCTGCTCTTGTTGATCATCGCCATGTACTTGTAATTCGACCTTACGAGCCTGTAAAACTTCCATGAAACGAAAATAGCTAACACGATGAACCGGATTATTTCAGGGAGCACCGTGAGATGAAAAGAAGCAACCATTTTATTCAGTGTGAGAACCATTGTTTTTGCTTTGAGGAGCTTACTACAAAAAAATAATTGCTAGAATAAGTTCAGGTATATAGCTCTATATATAGAGGTGTGTACTAAATTAAACTTCTGATTCTCGAAAACAACATTGTAATTTCATATTTTCCCTTTTTTTTTTTTGGTTGTGTTGTTGTTGTTGTTTGGTTTAAGCTTCTAGATTCTAATAGGGTTAGGCTTGATTTATATGAATTAATTATGAGCCCACCAACCCACTTGATTATGAGATTTGTATATATTAATAATCCATACCAACAAGTCAAAATCATTTGTTAAACATTTAAAACAGCAACCGGATGGAGTTAATCTATAAATTTCGTGAACATTTTAATCCTTCTTATCGATTAATCCAAAAGTTTTTGCAGCCAAATACTAAATAACAATCACATAAAAGTAAGTATAAATTAGAGTTTTAATCTTTAGCTTTTGATTTTAGTTCTTCTGAGATAATCAGCTTCCTGAACTAATGTGATTTATTCAATCATTTTTGACTGGGATGTTAGATTGTTAAGTTGGAAAATTTAATTCTTGTCGTTTTTCAAGATCAGTATGCAGATCGATCTCCATGATGAGGTTGTTGTGGTATTGGAAGGGGGTTGGAAGCCCCTCCCAAGGGCCGAAATTTCATAAGAACAATTTAAGAATTTCACTTATAATTGTGATTTTGTCATTATTTTTCTTATAGTATATATTTCCTTTTTTTTGAAATACCATATCACACATTTATGACCAACTTGTTAAGAATCATTTTAACTCGAAATCTAATTCAAACACAAAATTATCCAATAGCTAATTGCTATAACATACTTCTATAATCAAATACTTTTGAAGGTCGACTTAATTTCAACGGTCACTCTCTCTACAATCAATTCAAAAAAGAACGATTATGTTCATATCACATTTTTTTTTTTTTGAAATACATCACATTTTACTTACATTAAAGGTCATTAACCTTTATTTATTATTACACTTATTATTTCCATAACTTTTATCTTCATCACATTCTTATTTTTAACATTTCATTTATAAGAAAATCTTGACCTTAATCATAATTTCATCCAAACATATTGTTAATGTGATTTAAAATGAGGGTCAAATATTAATCTCATTTTAGCATTATTATTTATTTTGCTTATTTAAAAATACATGGTGAGCAAAGAGTCTTTTTACTCTATTTTAAAGAAAATTTTGGAGAGAAATCATAATTAGAAATAACTTATGTTAATTTGAGAATAAGAATATGATGAAAAGAGTTTGAAACATAAATGTAATAATATGTAAATGTTATGAATCTTTCATACAATTAAAATGTAGTGTAATTATTAAAAATTGTGGCGTGAATATATTTAGCCTAAATTAACAAATTTCGCTAAACCAAATAGGGCCAGTAACTGTATTTTCTCTCAATAATGGATCAATTGAAAAAATAAAAATATTAAGGACTAATTTGCAAAAAAGAATGCCTTGATAGAACTTTCCCCCTCCATCCTAGGTGGTGCGATTTTTCTCAAAAATGCCTCTCTTTGTCAAGAGTAGAGACCTAAAATCTGAAACGACGGTTTCAATTCAAAGTCTTCATTTTTCTCTAAATGCATTTATTCAATAAATAACAATCCGTTTCCCTTTCAGAAGATTTCTTCATTTACATTATAAAACAATGTATTCATTTCTCCTAAATCAAGCTCCCTCAGGTCAGTAAGTCCTTTTTTCTTTTATCATTTCACGTCACATTTAGATAATTATCAGTAATTACCAATTATATACTTTTAGATAAAACCCATTTTTAATTAATTATTTTTTTATCACTAAATTGATATTAAGAACTGGTTTGTAAGGCAAGTCTAGATTTTTTTCTTTAGTGTATCCTTTACTGTGTTCAATTCTTATTATAAAATGTTTAGCAGTTGCATTGATGGGTAATTTCTATTTTATATTATTTTTGGAAGCCTTTTCACCAATTTAATATGGCTGCTTTATTATGTCTTATAATCTAAGTTGATTGAGTCTGAAGGGGTTAACATATTGGACTTTTGTTATTCATTCTGTCAATTGTTTGTTCTATAGATGTTTTTCATCAATAGTAATTACAATTCAATGAAGCAGTCCTGTAGGTTGGATGTAGAGTTCATTCTGTGCAATGGTACAAGTGCAAAAGAGTTTCTCTCTCTCTCTCTCGGGGGTGGGGGTGGGGGAAAGAGTTTTGGCAGAATTCTGCATTTTTAACTAGTAGCTTAATCAATAAATCATATAAAGGCCCTCGAATTGAGATAACCATATCATTTATTGAAGACACTTATTTATGGTTTTTTGTATGTGTAAGAAATTACTACTAGTTAGCCATTAGATCTGGAATTCCACATAGATATGGTCAAGAGAGCACTTTGTCCTGTCCTGTTTACTTTCTTCCACAATGGAGCGAACAAAATAATTTAATTATTTGGAGCATTAGTTGACGCAATGAGTTTGATACACAAATAATCAGAATGGAAATAAATTGATATGATGAGTTTGAAGCATAAAAATCATCACAATTTGTTGCATGTTCAAACGTTTACCTCTGATACTAGAAAATTTAAAAATTCTTTCCAAATGCACTGTTTCAATGATGTCTCTTCCCTTGCATCAAGTACATGTCATAGAAGGAAATTCAGGAAGAAAAGAAATGTCAGTCCCGTTAATCTTGGGAAAATGAAAAAAGTTAGATGAGAAAATGGTATTTTGGTTTGCAGAGGTATGATTTGAGCTTTGGGTGATTCTTGTATAGGCAGTGATGTTATGAAATCAGTTGTCACCTTGGAAGTGTATTCACCAATGAATGTAATTGTTTTTGCTAGATTTCATAGGTTGATAGCTATGATAAGAGCAATGTTGTGACCCTTCAGTATCTCAAAAGAACTGTGATACATCTAAGTTTGAACAGGAAAATGAGGAAATGAAACAGTCAGTAACTCAGCTACTACAGTAAGGGAGGAAATTTGTACCTGGTAAACAAACAGAGGACCTGGAAAACACAAGTACATTTGAGAAACTAGTGTTGAACTCTCCGAAAATGAAGTAGGTATGCGGGATATTTGAAAGAAAAGCATGACAACAAAAGCCATATTCTACCTGCTGAAAAGCTGGAGGGAAAGAGTCAAATTCAGAAAGAAAAACAAGTTTGAGTCACCAATTGAAATGAAATCTTTGGAAATTGGAGAGAAAATTGGTGAAACAGAGAGTGAGAAGAGATCATATGACTCCAAGAAGCGAGAGAATGATGATTGATGAAGCAGATTCAAGGGGTAATCTTGAGGAAATTCTTTATGGAGGAGAAGAGGAACCTGTCTTCTATGGAACTGAAATTCCTGAAATGGAAGCTAATTGAAGTTTGTCTGTGAGGTCCATTGATCATGAAGTGGAGGGGCAGAGACCTGCTTGGCCCGAAAAAGCAGTTGGTCATACAAATCTAATACGGGCAAAGAGTGCAGTGGCAGCAGTCTCTACTTTTAAGCCCTGCCTTTCTGGAATAAGTGATAGTGAACAGAATGTTCATGATGAAGATAAAAATCACAACAAGGACAATGATAGTAATGGGAACGAAGATTTCTCATCAGAAAGTGAAGCACAAGAAGTCTCCAAGAAATCTGCAGAGATCTCTGGATGGAACCCTCTTAGCCGTATTAGGATTTCTCGTTATGCTTGGGTGAAAACAAGTCAGTACAGAATCATTCTATAAAGGAGTTAATACAACTGATTGCCATGAATGGTCAGATACTCATATTATCTTGTGTAGTGACAGGATTGCAAAGAGATACGAAGATTTCTGCATAGGAAAAGACTCCGGTATGTTGAGATCAATATTGATGTGTATCCTAGCAGGAAGCTAGAGCTAGAGGAGATTGCTGGATCTCATGCTGTTCCTAGAGTTTTTTTTAATGAAGTACTTGTAGATGGGTTGGCTGAGCTGAAAAGCTTGGAGGAGTCTGGTAAGCTTGGACAGAAGATTGAGCATGTTGTCGCGGAAGCACCATCATTTGAAGCTCCTCTCCCACCACTATCTGGTGAAGCTGACCTGTCAAGTAGCAGAGCTATTGATGAGCTAGCTCTTATTTTTTGAAAAATGAAAGAAACTGTTTCTGTTAAAGGATAGGTTTCACAGAATGTGCAGGTTCACCAACTGTTTTCTGGGTTCAGAAGCTTTGGATTTTCAGTCAGACAATCAATACTAAGAGAGAGAAGAGGTAGTTTTGCCTTTGTTTCAGTTATTGTGAAGCTTCATTTCCTTTCATGGTGTTGCTAACTTCTTAGCTTCCTAAGCCACTTGTTTGATAGCCATTTTTTGGTGAAAAAATGTTTGAATAGTGTTTTTTAAGAGAATGTGGTTGAAAAGCATGGAAAAGTTTTGGATTTACGTGTAAAATATTTTATTGTATGAATATGTGGTTAAAAGTCAAGCAACGGCTAAATACCTAATGCATTTGGGGCTTTGTTGGATTTTATGCGCAATAATAAAGGGATAAAAAAGATAAATCAACACATGAATTTTATGTGGTTCGGCGGTGTGCCTACGTCCACGAGAGCGGCGCTCCTCACTCCACTCCACTCCACTCCGCTCCGACATTGGCCCATTTGATTTAGGACATGTGTTCCACTCTATATGACCTAGATGCATAACAATCTCCACCTTGGCGAATATTCACCCCTTAAGAAAAAAACATAACCTGGAAACATGGGCGGATTTAGAGGTGGGCTGCACTTGGCTGCAGCCCACTGTTGACCAGGCCTAGATAGTTAAAAAAAAAAAAAAATTGTGTGAATTGTAGTCCAATAGCCCATATGTAACCACATTAGCCCACCAACAATTTAATTCAGTGGGCTAGTCCACCTAAAATTTTTTTTTTGTTTTAATCTTTAGCCCACTAATTTAACCCAAACCCACTTAAATGTATCAATTGATAAAATCCATTTATCTCATTTCTTTCCATTCCTTACCACGTGAACTATAAGTTTTGCAAAATCAATTGAAAATGAAATCATTCCCAAAAATAAAAAACCCTACATCTCTTCCCCTTTCCCGGCCCTGCCCGTAGCCGCCGTCCCGCCGACCTGGACCGCCGTCGCCCGTCGGCCCCTCATCGAGTGCCACTGTGCCGCCGACTCGCTGGCTTGACCCCGCAGGCCACAACCGCATCCTATCTTCCCAGTTCGGCAATTCCCACATTCTTGCTTCAGCCGACTAAGTCGGGGTTTGGAGGTTCCATTCTGAAATTGAATCTTCATTTTTAATCTTCATTACAGTTAGTTAACCATTAATTATTTATTTATTTGCATTTCGCAGTTCACACTAATGAAATAGATAATCTATTTCTCTATGACCTCCTTTCTATGAAAGAGATAATTTGTCATTTTGTTGTAATTGGAAAAATTTGAACAATTGATGAAAATGGGTTTTGTTACTTGATGGATTTTGATTGTGAACAGTGAGTTTGAAATGAGAGAATTTTGGTTTTGAATTAGAACCCAATTCTTTCAAAATTTGGGTGAAATAGGATGCCTTTAATGTGTTCGATAAATTTCCCTCAAATTTTCACTGATGCATAGGGTGATCTGGTGTGGAGTCTTGTGGTGATTAAAATTGACATTTGGAACGGAAATCGGAATCTTGGATTTCTGTGGAAAGTGGAAACTGATTGGTCCAGATTGGATGAAATTGGAAATTACCGAATACGTTTGTTTAGTCTCTAATATTTAGCCAATTTTCATGCTGATTGCTGATGCTTGCTTTAAGAAAAATTACTTATTTTTGATTTATATGACATTCTTAAAAGTAAAACTATTGTTAATTTTTGTATAATACTGGGTGAAGCACTGGAGCATTTTCATAGGCATTATGATACTATTTTCATAGTTTTTTTTTGGATTTTTTGTTTAATTGTAGGTGATGCTTTTGATTTTTTGAAGTATTGTGCTATTTGCTAAGAAAAGGGTCCAAAGGCTAAAAGGGTTAAGGAGGTTCAACTTTTCAAGGTTGGTTCTCATTTCTCAATCTCTGACTTCGAATGAAAAATCTCATTTCATAGGTTATAGCAAATAGTAAATTGGTTTTATATGGTTATGGTTTTATCAATTTAAGTTTATGCCTTTATGTGATATTGAAGTATCTTGTTTTTTATGCTTTTAGATTTAATATGGAAGAAGATCGACCTTCTAACAAGAAAGGAAGAACCTTGTTATCTTTTTTTTTTTTAAAAAGTAATAAATCTCAAGATTCTCCAATTCCTACGGCGCCCATTCCTCCAATTTCATCCCCAGAAGTTGTACGGCCTTCATCTTCCAATCTTAATGTAGAACCATCTGATTCTATTGAACGGGACCCTGGAAAAAGAAAACAAATATGTGAACATCCACGTAACGAACGCGATCAGATTAGGCGAGCTTATCTAAATGTTGGACCTTATCAACCAAAACTTTGGGAGTATCAGAGCAAAGAATGTGGAAAGCAGAAACGTCGATTTCAGGAACGTTGGTACAATCAGTTTCCTTGGTTGGAATATTCGCCTTCAACACATAAGGCATATTATTTTTATTGTTTCCTCTTTCTCAATGAGAGTACTCCACATAATATTTCATCGTTGGTTACTATTGGGTTTGATAGTTGGAAGAGGGTTAACCAAGGAAGTAAATGTGCATTTCTTATTCATGTTGGTACAACATCTTCGTCGTTTCATAATGGCTGTAAGAGAAGTGTTGAAGATCTAATGAAACAAACTCAACATATTGACAAGGTAATGCATTCTTTATCAAATGAGGAAATTCAGAAAAACCGTTTGCGTCTAAAGACCACCATTATGAGTGTTAAGTGGTTAGCACTTCAAAGTTGTTCCTTTAGAGACCATGATGAATCTCCATCTTCACTAAATCGTGGGAATTTCATTGAACTGGTGGATGCATTTGGAAAAATGAATGTTGAAGTAGGAAAAGTTGTATTGGGTAATGCTCCCAAAAATGCTACATACACATCTCCAGACATTCAAAAAGAAATTTTGAACATTATGGCCAACAAAGTCCGACAAAGAATTCGTGGCGAAATTGGGAATGCAATATTTAGTATTCTTGTTGATGAAGCACGAGATGAATTTTCACAAGAACAAATGGCCATTATCCTGAGGTTCGTCAGAAGTAATGGAATTTTGACAGAGCATTTTTTTGCAATTAAAAGTGTTAGTGGCACTACCTCATTAAATCTTAAGAATCAAATTTCTGATGTTCTTGTCCGTTTCGACCTTCAAGTGCAAAATATGAGAGGCCAAGGGTACGATGGTGCTAATAATATGCGTGGTTCTTGGAATGGACTACATGAATTATTTCTTAAAGATTGTCCATATGCATACTATGTCCATTGTTTTGCCCACCGTTTACAACTCACATTGATTTCTGCAACTAGGGATGTCTCAGATATTAATTCATTTTTTTCTCATTTGGATAGTGTTATTAATATGATTACATCATCTCCTAAGCGCATCAATGAGTTGAAAAGTGCCCAAAGAAAAGAAATTGAGCATTTGTTGGAAATTGGAGAACGAGAGTCCGGAAGTGGTGCTAATCAGATTGGTAATTTGCAACGAGCCGGAGGTACTCGTTGGTCTTCTCATTACAGCTCTGTAAAGAGTTTGATTGATATGTATGCTGCAACTTGCAAGGTGCTTGAGTATCTTAGTGATCATTCTCCAAATGTAAGATCTCGGTCTGAAGTTGGTGGTGTAAAACCATGACAACATTTGAATTTGTATTTATTTTACATTTAATGCGTAAAATATTAGCAATTGCGAATGTGCTTTGTCAGACCCTTCAAAAGAAAACTCAAGACATCTTGACTGCTATGAGATTTGTCCGTACTACAAAAACTATCCTTCAAACATTGAGAGAAGATGGCTGGGAAGAATTTCTTGAAGAGGTGAAATGTTTTTGCTCAAAAAATGATATACATGTACCTGACTTTGATGCTTCGTATATGGTTGGTCGTTCTCGTGGTCGTGAGTATCCTACCGTTGAACATCACTATCACTTTGATATTTTCAATGCAGCCATTGATTTTCTGATGATGGAGTTAGATACAAGATTTAATGAGATATCATTAGAATTCCTTTTTCTCAGTGCAACTTTGGATCCAAAAGATTCTTTTGAATCATTTAACATTGATAATATTTGCAAGCTTGCAAAGAAGTTTTATCTTGAAGATTTTTTACAGCAAGATATTTATTGTTTGAAAGTTGAGTTGCAACATTATCAGAATGATGTGATTTCCGAACCTCGATTTCAAGTACCTACACTTTTTGATTTATGTCGAAATTGGTTGCAAGTAGAAGGTCGGAGAGTTACGTCGTTTTGACTAAATTGATTTGTTTAGTACTCACACTACCTGTTTCAACGGCGACTGTGGAGCGAGCATTTTCAGCAATGAAACATGTGAAGACGGAAATTCATAACAAAATGGATGATGGCTTTCTTGCTGATTGTTTAACACTAAATATTGAGCGAGAATTTAGTATGAATTTAGATCTAGATTCTATTGTAGATGAATTTTATGCTTTAAAATATCGTCGGGTACAACTACGATAGGTAACTTATATTATGAATTTTTCTTATTATATATAAATTTTATTTGTAGTTCGTACATTAAATTTTTAAAAATTTTTGCCCCCCGTACCAAGAATTCCTGGCTCCGCCCCTGCCTAGAAAATCACACCATCCAAGACTAATGGGTTGTGACATATCCTCTCTAAAACCTAGAGATATTAATCAAGTTCAAACAATGTTTGAACCTACCCATTGTGATTGGCTTTGTCATCATGTCTGCTGCATTCTTTGAGGTATGCACCTTCTCTAATAATAGCTCTCCTGAAGTAACCAACTCTCTTATCTTATGAAATCTCACATCAATGTGCTCGGTTCTTGCATGATCAATCTGATTTTTCGCTAGGAAGATGACGCTCTGACTATCGTGGTACAACTTTATTCCATCTTGCTTGATCCTAAGTTCCCTGACAAGCCCTTTCAACCACAATAATTCCTTGACTGTCTCAGTTGCCGTCATGTACTCTGCTTCAGTTGTAGATAATGCCACAAGTGATTGCACCATTGACCTCCAACATATGGGCCCACCTGTGAGTGTGAAAACATAACCTGTATGGGACCTTTTGTCATCCAAGTCCCCCGGATAATCTGCATCTACGTATCCTTGTACTGAAATGTCTCCATGTTGTCTCTCAAACATGATCCCGCACTCCATTGTACCTTTCAAGTACCCGAATATCCACTTTACAGCTCTCTACCAAGATTAGCCATATACTTACTAACCACACTAACTGCATGTGCTAGATTTGGTCTGGTACACATCATTATATACATCAAACATCCAATTGCACTGGAATAAGGTACCTTCGACATCTCCGCAACTTCTTCTTCATTCTTTGGGCATTGATTATTAGACAATCTGAAATGATTTGCCAATGGTGTAGCAACTGATTTTTCATCTGACATGCTAAACTTCTCTAACACGTTCTTCAAATAAATTTTTTGAGACGCCTATAATTTTCTGACTTTCCTATCTCTGTTGATCTCCATGCCAAGAATTTTATTAGCCGGTCCCAAGTCTTTCATATCAAACTTACTTCTCAACAAAGATTCCAATCTGTCTACCTCGTCCATGTTCTTAGCAGCAATAGCATGTCGTCCACATATAAAATCAAGAAAATATATGGGTTATCCTCAAGAACTTTGTAGTAAACACAACAATCATACTCACAACGATTGTAGCCAATATGAATCATATGAAAGTCGAACTTCTTGTACCATTGCCGTGGAGAAGCCCGTATAAAGACTTCTTCAGTTTACACACAAGATTCTTTGTTCCTGGTTTCAAAAACCCTTCTGGCTGCTTCATGAAAATTTGTTCCTCCAAATCACCATGAAGGAAAGCAGTCTTCACATCCAGCTGCTATAACTCCAAATCAAAATTAGTCACCATTGCCAAAATAATCCTGATGGAGGTGTGTCTTACGATCGGGGAGAAAATTTCATCATAATCTACTCCCTTCCTCTGTAAGTATCCCTTTACTACTAATCGAGCCTTGTATCTTTCTCCTTTCTTTTCTGACATTGCTTCTTTCATTCTGTACAACCACCTACACCCTATCTGTTTCTTCCCCTCTGGAAGCTCCACCAAATCCTAAGTATCATTTTTATGCAGTGATTTAATTTCCTCCGTTATAGCCTCTATCTATTTACCTTTCTCTTGACTATCAATGGCATCTTAAAAAGTTAGAGGATTGCTATTACTAGTAATGAGTGTATAAGAAATCGAATCCTCGAATCCATACTTTGTTGGTGGCATGATAGTGCGACGTGGTCTATCTAAGGCAACACTATGATATTGTTCCACCTTTGGCCCAGAACTATCCGCTCCCTGAACATTAATTTCTATGTTAACATTGTCTAGCTCTACTTGCACCACTTGGCTCTTGTTGTTGCCCTCGTCTGAATTGAGCTTCTCTTTATCTGGAGAAGCTTTAAGCATGAGTGTTTCATCAAAGACTGCATCCCTACTTATCACCATCTTCCTTGTTTCTGGATCCTAAAACTTGTAACCCTTTACACCTTTCATGTAGCCCAGAAAAATACATTTTCTTGATTTCGGATCAAGTTTGGATCGCTGATCACTAGATACATGCACATAAGCCGGACACTCAAATACTCTCAATTCAGAATAGTCAACTTCATTACCTGTCCAAACTTCCTCTGCAACTTTCCCATCTACTGCTGCTCGTGGTGATCTGTTTATGACATAACATGCCATGTTCACTGCCTCAGCCTAAAAACTCTTCGAGAGCCTTGCATTGAGCATCAAACATCTTGCCCATTCTGCAATTGTTCTGTTCATCCTTTTCGCTAAACCATTCTGCTGCGATGTCTTGCGAACTGTATAGTGCCGTTAAATACCATGCTCCTCATAAAATTTTAGAAACTGTGAATCTGTGTACTCTGTACCGTTGTCTATCCTCAGATACTTAATTTTTCTGTTTGTCTGGTTCTCTACTTCTGCTTTCCACAATTTGAACTTGGCAAAGGCTTCAGACTTGTGTTTTATGAAGTATACCCAAACTTTTATAGAGAAGTCATCAATGAAAGTAATGAAATACTGAGATCCACCTTTGGACAACTCCCTCACTGGTCTCCAAACATTTGAGTGCACGTAATCAAGAATGCCCTCTGTCTTGTGCTTTCCCATCTTGAACTATACTCTGGACTGTTTTCCAAGTACACAGAACTTGCAGAAATCCAGCTTGCATGATTTTACCCCGTTCAACAAATTCCTCTTATGAAACTCAACCATGTCACGTTCTCCTATATGCCCCAGTCGCATATGCCATAAAAGAGTGTCATCTGACTCAAATTTTGCTGTAGCAACTCCACCTACAACTGTATCCCCGAGTAGTTTGTAAATATTCCCTGCTAATTTCTGACCATTCATCACAATCATAGCTCATCTCTTCACTGTTAGAGTCCCACACTCTGACTTATAAGAGTAACCATTTATGTCTAAAGTGTCTAAAGAAATTTGATTCTTTCTCAACTCAGGTACATGCCTAACATTTTCTAATGTCCTTACCACACCATTGAACATTTTAAATTTTATAGACCCCATTCCAATGACCTTACATGATGCATCATTACCCATCACAACAAATCCAAAATTAACAGAACGATATGAATGAAATCAATCCCGGTGAGGACATGTGATATGAACAGGCTGAATCAAGTACCCAACAGTCATTTAATTTTTCAAAATTACCTGCAAAGACTGATAGCATGTCTCCATCTCCAGAATTCGAGTCTCCTTTTGCAACACTAGCTGAGTTTGAGGACCCATCACCTTTTCTTTTGTTACTCTGCTTCTTATTGGGACAGTCTCTCTTAAAGTGATCCAGCCGATGACATTTGTAGCACTTGATGTTTTTCTTATTTTGATTCCTAAATTTTGATCTTGTGTTCCCTCTATAAGAACCACCCCTGTCTTTCCTTCTCCCACGATCCTAGTAGTCCTTTATGATCAACCCTTCACCCTGTGAAGTTTCACCAGTACACAGTTTCTGCTGGTCGTAGGCTAACAGGACTGATGTGACTTCCTCCAATTTGAGAGTATCTTTATCCCATGTCAACGTGGTCACTAGATGGTCGTAAGAAAGAGGAAGCTAGCACAACAAAATCATTGCCTTGCCTTCATCATCAAACTCGATTTCAAGTCGCAATAGATCGCAGATAATTTGATTGAACACATTGGTGTGTTGAATCAAATCCGTACCCTCTAACATCTTCAACTCGTACAGCTGCTGCTTCAGATGCAACTTGTTCGTGAGAGACTTTGACATATAACGACTCTCCAATTTCTCCCAAACCTTTGCCGGAAACTCAATGTCCATGACGTGATAATGATCTCATCCGATAAACAAAGCCGAATTGTACCAACTGCTCGCACCTCGAGTTCTTCCCAATTGGCATCTGACGTACCCTCCGGCTTCTTCCCAAATAGTGCCTTCACCATACCTTGCTGCGCCAACAAATCCTTCACTCGTCATTGCCATAATCCGAAATTCCTAGATCCGTCAAATTTCAACACATCGAATTTTGCAATCGAAGAACTCGCCATCTGAACCTTGCTCTGTACCGGTTGTTGGATTTTATGCACAATAATAAAGAGATGAAAAAGATAAAT